CCATATGCTGTTTTGCCACTGGCCGCGAATAATATACGCCAACCAACTGCTGTACAAACTACAACCCATTAGCCAAGATGGATACAGCAGCCATCATCTGTACACCCAAAACCCATGTAAGATATACCACACTAACTCTAAAGCTGTACAGCCACAGCCACTGCTGCGCGGATGCCATACACCAACCGTCCAACTGTGCAAGCAACAGCCCTAAGTAAGATATAATGCGGCAACTATCTGCCTGCATACAACCACATGTACGTATACAGACACCAGGCATATGCTGTACTATACAACCTAGTAATGTATATGCATTACCATGTACTGTACAACCCACAGCATTTAAGATATAGACACTAACCATCCAACTGTTCAGCCATAACCTAATGTAAGATATTTACACCGACATTCACCACTTCAAGACAAACACAATACGATGTAAGATGATATACACGAACCATCCTACAGTACAAAACAACCTAGAGATATTTACACCAACCATATGTTGTACAGTACCGGCATTTGGAAGATAGATGCACAAGACTATCAACTGTTACAACCACAACCCTGGCAGATGCCTGCACAACCATCTACTGTGCGAGCACATCCACACCCACGTAAGATATGTACAGCGGCCATCTACTGTGCAACAACGGCCATGTAAAGATGGATACACCAACCATCTGCTGTGCAACCATAAGCCGTATAGGATGATATACGCTTACTCTAAGAGCTGTACAGCACAACCCATGTAAGGGTCGATGCACCAACCATCATCTGTGCGGCCCAGAACATGTAAGATATATGCACTTACTTTTCAAACTGGCAACCACAGCCATGTAAGGATAGATACACCAACCATCATCTGTACAACCCAAAACCCATGCTGCAGATGTATACGCGCCTAAACAATACAATACGGCCCGTATGATTACCCGGCAGTTTTACCGGTCTGACTGGTAGGATATATGCACCAACGATCTACTGGCGCAACCACAACCCATGTAAGATATAAACATGGCAAAGTAAACTGTACAGCAACTGAACCGTGTAAAAGATATATGTACCAACCATCAACTGGCCTGTACAGCCACAGCCCATGTAAGATATATGCACCGACGCAATACTGTACTGGAACTACAGCGATCACAAGATATATCACGCAGACCATCTACTGTACAACAACAGCCACAGGAGATATTTACACCTACCATATGCTGTACAACCACAACAATTTAAGATAGATACCAAACCTCAACTGTACAGCCACAACCCATGTAAAAAATAAGGATGTACACCAACGCATTCTACAGTGAGTACAAGGCCACAGCCGATGTAAGATAGATAATTCAACCATCAGCTGTACAACAACAGACCGTATAAGATATGTACCCCAGCCTAAACTGGACAACAATGACAACAGCATGTAAACATACATACACCAACCATCTGTACTGTACAAGGCACAGCCCTTGTACATAGATACACCAATGCATCATCTGTACCAACCAAAACCATGTGTAAGGTATATACACTGCTCTAATCTCTGAGCATGCCACAACTCCGTGTAAGATGTATTGCATAACAATCTGCTGTGGCCAACCAGAACCTGTATGATATATGCACTGACCATATGCTGTACAACCACAACCAATGTAAGATATATTCACCAACCATCCCCTGTGTACAGCACAGCCCATGTAAGATAAATGCACCTACCTTCAAGGTGTACAACAACAACCTAAGTAAGATATATACAACAGCTATCTGCACTGTACAACCACAACCCATATATAAGATAAATACACAAAACCAAATACTGTACAACCACAACCCATGGTAATATACATACACCAACCATGTAACTGTACGAAAGCCACAAGCCAAGTAATATATATACACCAACCATTGCGTACTGTTACAGCCTGAAAGCCCATGTTCCGAAAAGATATATACACCAACTATGTACTGTAAAAGACCACAGCCCATGTAAAATAATAGACACTAACATCATCAACTGTACAAACTTCACAACCCATGTAAGATATATACACCAACCATTAACTGTACAACCACAACCCATATGTAAGATATATACAAAATACGTATATGCTGTACAACCACAACGTATGTGCGTGATATATACACCATCTCTCAGCTGTACAAACACAACCCATGTGAAATATATACACCGACATTCTACAGTACAAACCACAACCGATGTAAAGGATAGATACAACCAACCATCAACTGTACAACAACAACCCCATGTAAGATATATACACCAACCCTAAACTTCGGACCAACAGCAACCCATGTAAGAATACATTACAATTCAAGCATCTACTGTACAAACACAACCCATGTAAGATAGATACACCAACCATCTCCAGTACAAACCAAAAGCCCATGTAAGATATATACACTAACTCTTTAATCTGTAATTAGCTTACTAAACCCATTGTAAGATATGTACACCAACAATCTACTGTACAACCAGAACCTATGTAAGATATATACACCAGCCAATGCCATCTATAGCCCATGTGGATACAACCACAACCCATGTAAGATAGATCTAACTAACAACCATCTACTGTACAACCACAACCCATGTAAGATATAAACACTAACTATCAACTGTACAGCAACAAAACCATGTATGATATATACACCCACCAATAAACTGTACAACCACAACCTAAGTAAGATATATACACCAACCATCTGCACTGTACAACTACAACCCATGCTTAGCGATAAAGACACCGAACATCTTACTGTACTGTACAACCGGAACCCATAATATATATACCAGACAATTCACAACCCATTTAAGATATAGACATATCAACTGTTCAACCATAGCCTATGTAAGATATTTACACCATTTGTTCTGCTGAAAACAAAACCCATGTAAGATATATACATCTACCAACCGAACCATGTACTGTACAACCAAAACCTATGAAAGATATATACACCAACCATGTGCACCAGCCATCTACTGTACAACCAGATATGGACCCATCATGTAAGATATATACACCAACCATATACTGTACAACCATGTAAGATATATACGCCTCTAAATCCCATGTAAGATAGATACACCAGACACCGACCATGATATACGCCTCCTGAAGCTGTACAACCACAACCCGTGTAAGATAGATGCAACCATCATCTGTACAGCTGTAAGAATATACATACTCTAAATACAACCAGCCAATGTAAAGATAGATACACCAACCATTTACACAACCCATGTAAGCTACTGTACGGCAACAAACCTAACCATCTACTGTACAGCCACAGCCCAGATATACACCAACCATCTACTGTACAGCTGGCCACGTAAGATATATACACCAGCCTGAAGATATTTACACCTCTTATGCTGTACAAGCCACAGCTCATTTGGATCGATGCCCAACCTTCAACTGTACGAAGATGTAAAATATGTACACCGACGTTCTACACAAACACAGCCGTTCTGATGCAACTGTAAAGCTTAACAACCCATGTAAGATATTTATACCGACATTCTACTGTACAAACACAACTCCATGTAAGATAGATACAATTAATACATCAACTGTACAACCACAACCCATATGGGGTGCTATACACCAACCATATACTGTACAACCACAACGTATGTAAGATATATATACACCAACCATCTGCTGGCACAAAACACAACTCCAAGTAAGATAGATACTACGGCAAGCATCATCTGTACAAGCTCACAACCTATGTGTATATATATACACCAACCGTCTGCTGTAGAACCACAACCCATGTAAGATATATATACACAAACCATCAAATGTAGCCTGCAAACTGCAACCTAAGTAAGATATATGCACCAACTATCATCTGTACATAACTACAGCCCATGCTTCGATATATGCACCAACCTTCAAATTGTACAAGCTAACAACTGGTAGTACCATATACGATACCAAGCTGTCTACTGAACAACCACAACCCATGTAAGATAGATAATTCCTACCATCTGCTGTGTACGAGCCGCAACCTAAGTAAGATATATATATATGCGCTTAACGATCCTACTGTAATAACCACAACTCCATGTAAGATATAAACACCCAAGCATCAACTGGTACAACAACAAACCATGTAACACGATATATACCAACCATCTACTGTGTAGCCTAAACACTGGCCATGCCGGGTAAATGCACCAACTTATCTGGCACTGTACAACCAGAACCCAAGTAATATACAGATTGAACTGCTGTACCGTAGCAACGGCACAACCCATGTAAGATATATATATAATTCCAGCATGTGCTGTACAACCACAACTCATGTAAGATATATGCACACCACCATGTACTGTGTACAACCACAACGCATGTAATATGCTGGCACGGGAACTTCATCTACTGTACAAACTACAACCCATGTAATTATACGGGCACCAATCATGTAATTGTACAAAATCCCATTGTAACCCATGTAATATGCGGACACCTGACCGTGTACTGGTAATAACCACTATACTGCTTTAATATACAGACACCAACCTTGGACTGTACAAACGCCAAACTCCATGTAAGATATAAGTATATACCAGCTCCTTTGTACTCTTATACCCAGAACCCATTTAATATACAGACGCACTGGCCATGTACTTGTACAGCCACAGCCCATGTAATACATGCAGACACCATCCATGTGCTGTACAGCCAATAACCCATGTAAGATATATACACCAGAAAGCCATGGGTACAACCCGCAACCCATATAATATACAGACACCAACCATGCTTATGCTCTGCAAGCTAACAACCCATGTAAGATGATTTTAGACACCAAACGCATGTACTCGTACAGCTACAACCATTGGCAAGACACATGCCACCTACCATGTAACTGTACAACCACAACCCATGTAAGATACATACACCAACCATCTACTCTGCAACCACAATCCCTATAGAGATACGCCATACGGCGACCATACTTACCTGCAAGTGACACCAATTCGAGTATATATATTCAAGTCATCTAATTGAGGGAACACAATGTTCATACTCTTTTATAATTGACAGCGTATTGGCGTAAACGCATAGCTACCTTCTTTGTGATGATTTGGGTATTCTTATCAGAAAGTCAAATGGTGTCACAAGCTGACTCTCATGCAAATATCTTTTGTACATTACGGGACATCTGCAGAGAGTGATTACCGAAGGGTGACGATCCGCTGAATTGTTTATTGATAAGTTGATTCATAATTTATTAAGCGGAATCCGGTATGGTTTTTTCACGTCGAATCCCATGACATTATGGCGGAGTGCGAATATACTTTCTTTGTACCTTCTGTTCTGTTTTCAACTGCTGCCAGCAGCTACTGGAACGGAACGATTTGCTGGCAGAGTTCAGCAGCATGGCGGGGCGGTGGGATAGCCTAATGGTTAAAGCGTTGGCCCGTCACGCCGAAAACCCGGGTTCGAATCCCCACATGGGCACAAATGTGAAGCCCATTTCCGGTTAATTGCTATGGTATTCCACTAAAAGCGGCATCAAAACAAAACTCAGTCAGTCAGTCGACAACGCGGCTATTGTAGGTTTCGTAGACAATGGGATATGTCTTTTTAACATGGTTAAACTATTCGATCGTGTGACCCGCTTGTTAAGTGGTAAGAGTAACGTTGTTGATACGCGACTGTCCTGACAGTTTCGTTGATGATGCCTGGATACTTGTCATCGTATCCCCAGTAATGGCCATACCGGTACGCATGAAAATTCAGCCAACGGAAGCTTGATACGTTCCGGACTCGCCTGGAAGTTCAAACACTGCTTGTATGTTAAACAACCGAGCAAATCCACTTCTGCGCCGTACAAAGGAAATGAAATTTCTAAGATGTTCGCATGCACTTACGTAGTAAGTATGCTAACCATACAACTTCCTAAAGATATTACGATGATATTTTTCCTAAGAATGAATAGGAAGTTTATCAGCACAGTCAGAGCAAAAGCTGTCGCTTTATCATATTTTATTACTCCAAATCTGATGAAAGCAATTGTTGATTTACTGTATATGAAATACTTCAGAATTAGGTGTCGTTTGTAATTTTCAAGAACTTAAGTAATCCAGCATAGCATAGAACGTTGTGGAAGGTATTTACATAACCAAGTCGTCAAGCAAATGCATCTCAAAACGACAAGCTGTTGTGTAAAGATAATAAACTTGCTGCTTTGTAAACATTGTTACCACAGACCGCTGCTTGTGAGGTGGAGGAGAAATTGGGGGTTAACGTCGTGCTTGAGAATATTTTGCTCATATGACGACGTGCATGCGTGTGGTATGTGTATGTCAGCGCCTGCTTGTACTAGCCCAGACTGAAGCTGGTTTTAGTAAGTTGCTAGCTCCACTGAGATACCATGCCGCAGTGAAGCATGAATAACCTACTCAGACACATTATACCGTCTCCGAGCCGACCAGTCCTTGTTGTACCCATTAATGCCGAGCGCCAGGTGAGGACCAACAAGTACCGCATATGCTTTTTTTCTTTTGGTGCATGACGCGGTCGGGCATCTAATCAGGAGCGACCTTCCGCTCTCCGGGCGGACGCTCTAACTCCACTACACCACTGGGAGGCGGTCGACTGCTATTGTGAGATACTTAACTCCTACGTAGGGGATGGTATGTCCCACGTAGGGAGATAATATGTCCTACGTGGTGATACTAAGTCCTAAGTCTACATGATAGTAGACTCTAACAGTTAAATGAAACACATAACTGTAGACTCTAATAGTGAATGAAGGATTGACTGTAGACTCTCTCACAGTGACTGAAACAGAGTGAAACAGGAGATTGTGTGCGTGGTTCTGGGGGCTTTAAGTCGACCGTTTCAGATTAATCCTATATAAACGTATATCGATCATCTCCTACAGGAAATATTAAGTACTACGTAGGAGATACTATGTCCCTACGTAGGAGATACCCAAATTTAGAGATACTAACTCCCTACGTAGGGGACTTAGTATCCCCTACGTAGGAGTTAGTATCTCCTAAGTGAGATAGTAAGTCCTACGTAGGAGAGATATTAAGTCCTTCATAGGAGATATAGTATGTCCTACATAGAGGGTACTGAGTCCCATGTAGAAGATAGAATGTCCTGCGTGGGTGATACTAAGTCCTACGTTTTGAGATACTAAGTCCTACGTACGAGATAGTAAGTCCTCATGTAGAGACTACTAAGTCCTACGTACGAGATACTAAGTCCTACGTAGGAGATACTAAGTCCCACGTGTAGGAAATAATACTAGAGTCCTTCGTAGGAGAGGATTCAAGTCCTACGTAGGAGATAAGTAAGTCCTACGTGGGAGAGATACTAAGTCCTACGTAGTGAGATAGTATGTCCTACGTAGGAGATACTAAGTTCCACGTAGGGAGACACTAAGTCCTACTTTGTGGAGATACTAGAAGTCTACGTAGGAGATAGTATGTCCTTACGTCGGAGATAGTGACCCCAAAACAAAATAATACAAAAATGACATTGTGTGATTTTTTTTAAAGCACAACTGTTTTAGTCTTTCATGACGTCTGAATATTCCTCGATATGTTATAAATTGTTCAAATTGACTAAAATGCGTGCGTATGTGCCAGTTTGTTACCAGAATTAGCCCGGCGACCATGGGGTTGTGACGCTCATTTATTTTGGCGGTATAATGTTTATCAACATCAGTATATAAAAGATGTAATCGCATAGTTGTTGAAAGAGGCTGTACATGAAGCGGCAATCCTATTTCCAGATCCTCTAAAGAATCCCCATCCCAAGAGCAGAGTCAACTGACTGTACAAGATAAAAAAAGAACAACAACAACCCCAAAAACAACAAACCCCAAAACAAACAACACAAGCAAAAACTAAACAACAAAAACAGGGGACTATGTGACACTCCATGAAATCTTGATGAAAAGAGCATGATTGATCGACTGTACCTCAGATGTTCATGTTATGTAAACACCAAAGGCGTTAACTGTGTTTTATAACATATTTCTGTATCCATTCCTCATGCTCTTTTTTAATCTTTTGACAGCAATAGATGCTTGTGTTGTCAAAATTTGATTTATCCATTTAGTTACTGCATCATTTAGGATGCAGCATTGAAAAAATGGTACAGGGACAATGGTGGAGCTAGCAGAAACGTTTGTATTCTTAGAAAAACTACGTCAACAAGATGACAAATTACACTACACTACCAGGGACTAGTCACGTGTTATTTAGGAATGGCAGGGAGCAAAGTATGAGACAGTAGGCCTTCCTGTCTAATCTTGAACTCAACTATCGCAGCGCCAAACAGGCAAAGGGGCAACTCAAGGAGTATTTACCATTGGTGTCCATATGGAGCAATCTTCTTGTCCAAATGTTTTACCCCCAATTTGTACATATATATGCTATCAAACGGGAGGTTCAGCATTTAACATTATGTACCCCTGGTAACTTCTAATGGCATTTTACTTTCGTTCTTGACCCACTTGTCCAGAAGCCTCTGAGGATAGATATCTACGTATATCCAGGAATGAAGTTTATTCTTAGGTTTGTAATGTGGGATAGTGGTAAATGTTTTGACAGAATGGACTTCAGTCCGTTTCTGTCAGTATAAAATTGCATTTTGAGCTTTTTGAGAATCCACATGGTATCATTTGCTCTTGTTTTAAATAATGTGTGTGAATAAAGAGAAAGTCTCCCTTTAAGGATAATGATTAAACTTTGACACAAGAATTTGATGGTACATTTGATGGACCCAGAAATACATCTTTCTTTCTACAGAATGTTATGTAGCTTTGGAATCCAGTACAAAAGAAGAATGGATATGTCTTCAAGGTTTATTTTAGAGTCAAGTCTAACGTTTTAGCGCCGATGAATGATTTTGCAGATTTCCTTCTCTCGAGTTGGCATACTGAACAAATCATGCTTATTTACAGTGTATTGACAGCCATGGAAAGAATAAACCAGTTTCCATGTTAACACACACCTGCCATTCATGACATTTGTTTGTTGTTTCGAGTCTCACTCAGCAATATATAACGGATTATCTTGATTTGTCTGGGTCAGAGACTTGGTTATTTTACAGACCTCCATAGACAATTGTCCAGGCCAAATCTGCTTTTTTCATTATGGTTCAAGTTTCTGACTGCTTTAATTGAATCGAAGTACAGAAAAGTTCAAACTAAGATCACAGAATAACCATTTTTTCAACAGTCATGGGTTAAATGAATAGCTTTACCTCATCTTGGCTTCAGAAATGAAAGATATAACCTCAAAAGCCGATACGTGTAATATCTGGATGTTTGAGTTGATGACAAAGCTTGGACTATTCAATTTTTCATTTTACACTCCAAGTTGATGAATGACAATTACGTTTCTGATGATATCTCTGTTTATTTTGAACACTGTTTGGCCTTTTACACAATGGAATCCAACTACACTTTGAAAAACCATAATTAATTTGCTCACTCAATCAGTGCCACACAGTAAACTTACAGATCTTACATATTGTATAAATACCATCAAGTTACAAAAGCTAGTATCATTTTTACAATGGCCTATGTACAGTTACGAGAGTTCGATTGTTTCCCGATTCCGCCTGGAAAGGATGTTACTTTCATTTTGCCCACTGCGTGTAGAGAGGAAAACACAGAACGTCGACCTCCAGACAGACTACAAGATCAACGAGGATGTCACCAAGTTCTTTCCCACACTGTGCTCGTTTGTTCTTTACTTCCTCTAGGCCTTGAAGGTAATCCTGTGTTTCTACAATTTCTACATCAAACTAACCGAACAACAATCGCATTGCATGGTTTATTGTACGGTGTCACGCAAGATATTCGGTGTCACACAAGATATGCTCACTGTTTTAAGAAAATTACACAAGTCACGAGTACCATTGGTCCCGGCAGGGCATGCTGCTTTTCAAGACCGCTGATGTTCAAGTCACACAATGTAAACAGCTATTTTGCCCCTGTGCGCGACATTGAATGTTTCTGAGGAGAGTCAAAACTGGTTACATTTTACATGCGGGTGGATTAACTAAATATGACTCGTCATATGTGAACTTGATGTGCTATGCCATCCCATTTTATGAGGTTCGTATGGAGGTATTCTCTGGCATAGAATCTTCACAGTTTGAATTCAAGTGGAAAAATATGAAAGTAACCTGATATATCGAAAACTTTAAAAAAGTTATGTCAACATGAATACGTCTTCCTAAACAAGAAAACAGAGAAAATACTCACAATTACGAGAGAAAATAATGGAAGCATCAAGAAAAAAAAAATCAAAATTTCTTTGTTTTGAAATCATTTCAAGCAATAGGAAATTATTGGCATTACGAAAATCTATTCGATGGAAAATGAAAAAATGAAAACTTTAATAGTAATGTAAAATAACGAGAAAATATTTGAAGAAATTAAATACTCAAGTTGATTGATTTTTTTGTATAATTCTCCTTAAACCCCTCAGACTTAACAGAACCAGTACAAATATAATGAATAAAATGATTCAAAATGTTTCCAGTGACCCAGACACATTTAGAAGAAAACAAAATACTCGTCCCAATGCAATATCGTTTAATAATGTGGTTCCACTGATGTTTGTTTCACTAATGTGTTTGACCCATGTACAGTTACCTCCCTATACTAGTCATTCATTTACACCGTTGGAACCCTGTGGAATATGCGTGGCAGATTAGTCAATGCCTCTCTTTCATTATTGTCATTTTTTTTGTCAGATAAAGACTTTGTTTACATACAACTCAACAACCTAGAACATTTTTGTAATGTTCACATACTAAAACTAAATTGTAACAGAACATTTGTAAACTACAAATGAAACATCTGAGTTAAATAACACAATTACCCATAAGCCCCCTTTCTCCACAATCAATTTATAATGACATGTAAACTATAATTGAATAACCTGAATTTATGAACACAATTACCTATAAGCGCCCATTTCTCCACAAACAATTTACAGAATTCGAACTATTACAAATATCGCCATGGAATAATGTTTAGTAGTAGTGGTTATGAAGTAAAAGCAGGTTATAGTGGCTACCATTTGCTTTGAAAGACTTGGACATGAACGTAGAAAAACAATATTTGTTACACAAGCAGGTCCTCAAGTCTATGATCAAAGCTGCCCTTCTGACCCAGTCCCGAGTTCTGATCTAGCGATGTTTGAGGCAGTGACAGCTGGAAAGAGATCTGGTACTCTGGGTAGGAATGTGTGTCCCGATAGATGCAGAACAGCGATGGTCGTGAAGTGTTGTTTGTGGTTGAGGTAAACCTGACAGAGCGAGTAGGGTCAACAAGGGGAGGGTCCCTCATTTTGGCATCCCCCTTGGTGTATCTGCCCGTCAGGACCCGAGCCCTGTAGACATATTTGATTCCATGGGTGTCTGGAGGAGAGTACATGTCCATGGAAGAGGTGCTTGCATCCACGGCAAAGTACACACCTTGTCCGAACAAAGTAGCTGAAATCAGAAAATAGAATGGCATCAAGCACTTCGGTTTAACAGTGCTGAAAATATTTAAGCTTCATGTGGGAAACTGTCTTACAATTATATAACACTAATGCTTGAGATACCCAGTCTTGATTATCCGCCGGGAAAATAATGGCAGAGGTGTTCGCGAAGAGATGTGGTGGTATTTGGCGTTTTCTGAGAGACGAATTTAAACGATTTGATTAGAACGTTTTGATGACAAAGTACCCACGTGTGCAAGCTTCTGAGCAACACTTGACGCTAAAATGAAAGAACCTAATCGTAACGGAATAGAAGTAAACATAAAACGAGCAGAACCTGTCTTCGAGGATGAAATGAAGTTATGGGACACAGGAGTGTTTGGCAATGATGATGCTCAACAACTCCTGAAATTCGTTTACTTTCACAGTTGATAAGTATTTGGGTTCAGGGCGGCAGACGAGCAAAGTAAGTTGCTGGTGGATCAGTTCCAGATTGGCACTAACGAACGAGGAGATTTCGACTTCAGGGGCGGAATTTGCAAAAACAACCAAAGCAGACTTCAGCAAAGTGGAAAAGTTGAATTCAGGTTAGTTCATTATCAAATGGTTCATTTTGTGATATATTTACTTGAACGTTGTATATTGAACCGATACTGATAACATGCCCCAAAGCTATTCTGTTTACACGATAAGAAAGTTCGTCAATATGCACAACCCGATAACGAGATGTTTCATCAAACTTCTGTGACTGTATCTGGAAAGTGTACCATCGGAAAGATCGTTTTACAGACGAGCCTTGTTACCAACAGAAGCTGGATATGCACTCGCTCGATAAAATCTCCCTAAAATCTGCCACTCGGGCAAGGTAATTTGTATTTTATTGTCTGAAAACAAACTTAGCATTGAGATTGAAAGCACTTCACTTACATGATAATGATCACGTACGTCACTTGTTATTATCGTATTTTCTGACAAAAAAAAATGAATATGTGTTTCAGGTTACTTTAGCAACTCGTTTATTGAACGAGAAAGTTGATGAACAGCTTCTCATGCAGCGCACTGGACACAGAAGCACAGAAGACCAGGCATACAAGGGAACCTCCTCCCACTTCAACAGGAAATCTCTGACATGTTACAACCCCCACGACCAGCAAATACAGTCGCCTCTACACCAACCTGATCAAACGGTAACTACTGCAAAGTATCAACGTCCACTGCGCCAGAAGAGAAAGGCCGAGGATGGTTTTGTTCCCGCGAAAAACGCATTCTCGTGAAGTGCGCGAAACGGAGATGCGATCGATATAACATTGTGAAGTCAAGGTATAAACAAGTTATTTTAAATAAATCCCTATTGTCTTGTATGTTTTGCTTGGTACCCTGTAAAAGAGCTACAGTAAGCTATTATAGTTACTTTCAATACACCTACAGTAAAAACATAAAGAAAGCATGGCAACGAGGACCGGAAGTGTAGTATAAAGCCTTGAGAGCTCTATATAGAGACAGTGAGGGAAGACTTTTTTAGAAGTTGAAGGAAAACCAAGTTCTATGGATAGTCAACTTCATTATTATTCCTGAGAGTTCAACGTTAAATATTTTGCGAACAAGCAAACAAACTCCTCTCCAACATATATCTTTATAATGCGTTTAGTCACTGTCATTCCATGTGTATGTGAAGAAATGAGTGTGGGTATACAATTCAACTCCAGATAATTATTGCTAAATTGGGATGATGTGTGATTTGTTTAATCACAAATGTTTTCGTTCAACGTGGTAATGTTTGGTCTTTCGTGACGTTCGTCGCTGGCATCATTTGAAAGGGTAATCCCTATAGTCAACTGACCGTTCTTTCCGCTGTAAGACCTGTTAAATCCATATTTGTTGATGTTGGGAACAGCTTCTACGTCAGTTCCATGCCACATGATGCGTTCATTATCTTGAAAGGGATGTTCCTTCTGGACAGTCTGCATCGCGATCTGGTACTGCTTGTACAGATCCGGAATCTGAATCTCTCAATCTGAGGTGAAAAATGAAGATATTTTGATAAGCCTCCTCACTGAACTACAGGATGCTAATTGCTTATGCTTTGTGTACATGTTTCTGTGACTGACTAATGGTCAGTGGGAATGCATCAGTTGTAATGACCGTTTTGAAAATATTACTTAAATCAGGTCACTTTGATTAATACCACGTTAATCCCGTTCTTATAAGTCTACGTTGTTTACCTTAAAGATGGTAGCATGATCTCTTTTCACACAAAGCCGCCATGAAACTGTTCTTCACACTCTTGTATTCTATGCTTCCTTCAGCAACTTTGAAAACCCTCTGGTCAGATCTCGACGCTTTCCCAGCAAGTGGGATACGCTAGAAGGACATACACAAATTCTCACGTTAGAAAAACGTGCTAATGTTTCATTCGCGAAGTGAAAGAAATACATAACAGAATTAATTAGTCTTTTGTCTGGAGAACCAGACCCAATTATTAAAGAGGAAACGCTCAAAGGCAAGTTTGTAATTTTTATTCTTCCAATCCAAATTTTCGATACATCTCTTCGTACCTGTTTCCTATAAGCAACGATTACGTGGACGTCACTTGCGCCATAAAGGAGCAAGCCCAGACACATCAAATTCAATACGTAAACAATCATGAGTCAAGCACGTCTTCAATGATGCTTCGGGGCGACAAGCGAACACTTTAACAACTAGGCTTTCACAACAACAACACCATGATGAAACCTGCACTGATATTTAACAAATAACATTTATACCTACCCACAAAACCAAAATCAGCTACTGTTTGTAGAGTCTGATCCAAATAATGACACACTTTGGTAAAGGCCTTGGGTGGTCCCTTCAGACGAACCCTGACCACTGGGATTTTAATTTGTAGATACCTACGCTCTCTTTCTTTGCAAACGCCACAGAGATCTTCAATCTGAGGTTGATAGGAAAAGGACAGGCGATCAAGAAGGAATTCACTGCAGAGTAATTTACTTTACTTTTAAAAATATTTACCATAAAATGGTAGATGGTACGCGACATCTACCTCACAATGAAACCTACCCACATAAATATCTTTTGGAATTTTAGCTGTGTTCCAAAATCTCGATAAAGTCTGATTAAGTTCCTGCTTTGTTGTAGTAAGAACAAAATGAGTACCATTAATTGGACATTTAGAGCTATCCATTTTCAGTATGGGAATCAGGAAGATTGCCTCCCATCCTGCTTTCCATGTTTTTATTACCTGTGAAGACTTCAGCTTCGGTATCCGCTTATCCAGAACGTTCCTGGTGCAATCTTCATCACATCTGTCTGGCAGTGTCCTGACACCCAGTGAGAATGGCACTCTAAACCGGTGTCTACCCTGGAGTTCTACTACAGGCATCCTCCGACTTTAAAATATGTTATTACACATTTATTGACATTAATTATTGGACTGGTATAACATATTCAAACGTGCGGACTATGAGCGTATCCAGTCGGCGATTGAACACCTGGGCAACAATACCTCCACGATTATCAGTGTGGAACTTACCTTTGTCATCCATTTTAACACACCAACTTCCGTTGGAGACTCTGTTCTACCCGACCTCAGGTATCCTGATAACAAGAAACGTAACTTGAGATATCACTCAATATGGTATGAAAGGAAAGCCGCATTTTACACGTATATAACTGACTGACATGCTTCTCTTTTCGCAGTCACTTTTCGTGAGCATTATAAGACAGACTTTATGGATAACAACTTCTATACCCTCATGGTTTAAGTACCACTGAATGATATAATGTTGTTAGTGTACCGCAGTCAGCAAAATTGAGTCAATAAACAAAACAGAGCTTTACACACTGCGCCCATTTAGGAGTGTAACCCTGGTCTTTGACATGAGGAACGAACTTTTCATCCAACAGTTCGAATCAACCGAACAGTAACTAAACCGAGACGTGACAAATCACCTCTATATAGCATATTCTATGTTCAGACCAGCAACGCAGCACATGGTCACCTTTGGTTACCTTCAGCTCCTTCCTAAATTAGAGTCGCCAATACAACTCCAGTTGGGACAAAGGTGCATAGAAAGATTTGTAAAGGTGGTGCAGGATAAGGTCACCTCTTTGCGAACACCAGGCACAATCACTATTGATAGTGATTCATTAATATATGTTTATTATATAGTTGAAAAATTGTGCAATGGACAAACGCTTTTTGCAAATATTTCGTAAGATTATAGAAACGGTTTGGTCTCTTATATAAAGGACCTTGCTTTGAACAAATCATTATCATAAAAGTTATTAGTTTTTGTCAAACATGTCACAAATGGAATCTATATACTATGAACTATATTGAACTGTTCTTGGAAAACGGAGTTTTAAACCGCATACTTAAACCTGAACGCTTGTCTTCAGGTCCCCTTAATCTTCGTAGGTGCAATTCATGCAACTGAAATGGTAAAGAACTATCATGTACACGGCCAGTAATGGTCTCAGTAAAGCAGACAAATTTTGACGTTAGAAATGGCAAGGTAGCGGATCGTGACGCGTGCTGTATGTATGTCCACTTCACGCAATCGATTCCTGACAGTTTGGTCAGAAATTCTTCTCTCAAACGATCGATTCGTTGTGCGGTCTCCACGGTAGTGGCAAGACGATGACCCAAGTGAGCAACCCAGATGTAGCGGTCCTGGGTTTGGGTGGTAACTCTTGGACGGCCGCATCTTGGGCGGAATTGGTATGCAGGAAACTATCCCAAATGCGATATATGGTGCTCTAATGGACTTTGAAATGTCGGGCAACTGCTGACTGCGACTCCCCAGCTTCAAGGCGGCCTATGGTGATGTTTAAATTGGCGGCACTCATTCGTGGCATCATGATTTCCTCTTTTCCAGGCAAAACGGAAGCACAAAATAAAAAACGTTTTCCTTTTCAAAGTGATCAATATTTCTTCAAACGCTTCTAAAACAAGGGGAAAGTTAAAATTGCCGCCTTTTGCCGCTGAAGCGGTTTACAATCACACAAAGATGATGTTTGGGAAAGAAATAGTACATTTGTAGTGTTTTTGCCGAAAGCTACATGAGTCCAATATTCTCAAAATCGCCTATGCGTTTCTTATTTTAAGAGTATAAAAAGGAAAATATTTCTAAATGTTCACACATTGTTCCCATAATAAACGACTTGACTATTTACAGACCGCCGCCATATACTTTAATATTGCCGAGTGCGGCGTTAAGCTACAAAGAAAACAAAACAAAACCAGTTATTTTTGTTAACACTGATCTGGCCCTATCGCGCCAGTCACAAAGTGAACTCACTGCTTCCTTCACTTTCAAATCCATGAGAGAGGACCTGTTGAAGTGTGTATCTGCAACAACCAAACAATGTGATCTAATTTGATAAGAGCAGATCGGTTTTGCAGAACTTGAGACATGTAGAATAGATACAAAAAAGTCTCTGTTAATATTGTAACTGTAATTACTGGATTTTTAAATACGATGCGTTTTTCTGCGAGTGGAAGCCATGCGATTTCATCTTATCCAACAATACAAACGTGTTAGGATTCCTAGCATGTCAAGCGAATATCCTAAACAAACTTAATATTTTGCCATCATTTTGTGCAACAAGTACTTTTCCAAAACGATACAAGCTCTTCAACTCCGATGATCACTTGGTCGGCTTCAAACCTACCTTTCCCACCAAACCCTTGAAGATCCGGGATCATTGTATTATAACTGCGTAGATCGATGCTCATGATGATGGTTTGTTTGGTCCAGACTTGATTATTTACAGACTGCCTCCATACAGCTGGAATATTGCTCAGAGTGGTTTTAATCAAAATACAAACAGACAAACCTTCCGACCACTTCATAGGTTGAGGTTGATACTCATTGACTTCTATGGTGCATCCTTCCTGACCCTGCAGAGGTCTCCTCTCACCGGGCTCAAAGACCATCATCCTACGTGGCCCCAGGTTGTTCAAACGGAACGTACCAGCCATTCTTGTGGAATGTCTGACTGGAGGAAAGTATAATTCGTAAACAACTCAACAAGGAATTTCCAATGCAATACCCCTATTTTGACTTGTAGAATAGACCTTTCAAGAACTTTTCAAGTGAACAATGTACGTGCCTTTGCGTGTGTTTGTCACTTCTGTCGTAGTTCAGCTTACTTTGTGGCAAACACTTGGCATCATGGCTACTTGAAAGTGATCCATAAGCGAATGGAGTACAGCAATTTTAGTTCTGATAATAAGGGTATGTCAGTGATATGTCAGGTTAGCCAGTGGCGCTCGTCAACTAGGAGGTTAGTATTTGCACATATGCAAATAGGTGTTTTCGTTACCTAGAAACGTGTGCCAAAGTGAAACAAGTGTTACATTTAAGAACCTAAATGTGTGTCGTGCGTTTCATATGTTACGAATCAGATCCTTGAATTACTTTAATCTTTATGATGGAAATGGTAATACGAGGAATGACAAGTCTTTATGGAAACGCTGCTCTCGTTGATCATTAATAAACACTTCCCAATCCTATTACAGCTTCTAGAATACCTCTCAAACCATGGATACGTGTGCTTGTACATGATATTAACACATTCTGAGCCATCCATGCTCAGAGTAAGTGGTCCAAAGGTTGTTATGTGCATATATAGTCTTATGATTGGCGACTTCCTGGTTTAAAGATGATCTTGCTAGACAGTTATGCGTTTTATACCCATAGAATTCTCCAACAAACAAAGCTTTCACTTCGTGTTGCGAGGGTATAGACATGGGCCCGCACGCAAGCACGCACACACACACACATGAGTGACGCAAACACAAGTACACGCCTCATACATATGCACATGTACACACGTATATAACCATAGTCTACACTTATACACATAGAGCTACTCCATACATATGCACATGTACACACGTATATAACCATAGTCTACATTTAAACATATAGAGATACTCCATACACATGTACATGTACACACGCATATAACAATAGTCTACACTAATACACGTAGAGATACTCCACACACATGCGCATATACTCAAGTATATAACCATAGTCTACACTTATACACATAGAAATACTCCACACACATGTACATGTACTCAAGTATATAACCATAGTGTATATTTAAATACTCCATACTCCAACCAATGTAAGATACATACACCAACCATCTACTCTACAACCACAATCCCTGTAAGATACATACACCAACCATCTTACCTGAAAGTGACACCAATTCCAGTATATATTCAAGTGTCTAATTGAGGGGAGCACAGCCCATACCCTTTATACTGACAGCGAGGTAGCGTGACACATCACTTCCTTCTTTGTGATGATTGGGTATTCTTATCAGAAACAAATAGTGTCACAATGACCTCTACTTCGTCTTTTTGTGTCCCCCGGTTTATCTTTGAAAGGGGGCTGAAGGGTGACGATCGCCTGGTGTTTTAATGATAAGTTCATAATTGTCATGAATCAGAGCTGTAGTTTTCACGTCGAATCCAATGTTTTCATGTTGGAGAGTGAATATACTTTCTTGTACCTTCTGTTTCGTTTTCAACTGCCAAGCATACAATAGCACATAGTTACTTTTAACAAGTTCAACAACATGGCGGGGCGGTGGGGAAGCCTAATGGTTAAAGCGTTGGCTCGTCACGCCGAAAATCCGGGTTCGAATCCCCACATGGGCACAATGTGTGAAGCCCATTTCCGGTGTCCCCCGCCGTGATGTTGCTGTAATATTGCTAAAAGCGGCGTAAAAACAAACTCAGTCAGTCAGTCAACAACATGGCTATGATGAGTTTCTGACAATAGGATATGCTTTTTAACATGGTTAAACTATTCGATAGTGCGACCCGCTTGTTAGTGTTAAGAGTCACATGTCAAACGTTATTGTCCTGACAGCTTCGTTGACGTGCCTGATACTTGTCATCGTATCCCCAATGTGTATATAGATGCCCATGACGTCAATAACTGGCTTGTCTGATCCAGACTCATACAGTTAAAACACTGCTGTATGTTAAACAACAAACAAAATGTCGCTATGTACAAAGGGAAATATTTCTAGATATTCACATATTTTTCCCATAATAAAGTATGCTAACCATACAACTACAAAATGTACAATGATATTTTTCCTAAGAATGAATAGAAGTTTATGGCACAGTCAAAACAAAAGCTGTCACTATCATATTTTATTACCAAATCTGATGAAAACAATTGTTGATTTACTGTATATGAAATACTTTCAGAATTAGGTGTCGTTTGTAATTTTCAAGAACTTAAGTAATCCAGCATAGCATAGAACGTCGTGGAAGGTATTTACATAACCAAGTCGTCAAGCAAATGCATCTCAAATGACAAGCTGTTGTGTAAAGATAATAAACTTGCTGCTTTGTAAACATTGTTACCACAGACTGCTATTGTGAGGTGAGGTGAAATTGGGGTTAACGTCGTGCTTGAGAATATTTTGCTCATATGACGACGTGCATGCGTGTGTATGTGTATGTGCGCCTGCTTGTACTAGCCCAGACTGAAGCTGGTTTTATAGTGCTAGCCCACTGAGATACTATGCCGCAGTGAAGCATGAATACCCTACTCAGACACATTATACTGACTCCTAGCAGACCAGTCCTTGTTGTATCCATTAATGCCGAGCGCCAGGCAGGGACCAACAAGTACCATATGTCTTTTGGTATGACGCGGTCGGGCATCTAACCGGCGACCTTCCGCTCTCCGGGCGGACGCTCTAACTACTACACCACGGAGGCGGTCGACTGCTATTGTGAGATACTAACTCCTACGTAGGAGATACTAAGTCCTACGTAGGAGATAGTAAGTCCTACGTAGGAGACCCTTAGTCCTACGTAGGAGATACTAAGTCCTACGTAGGAGATAGTAAGTCCTACGTAGGAGACCCTTAGTCCTACGTAGGAGATAGTAAGTCCTACGTAGGAGATACTAAGTCCTACGTAGGAGATAGTATGTCCTACGTAGGAGATAGTGACCCCAAAACCAAATATACAAGATGACATTGTGTGATTTTTTAAAGCACAACTCTTTTAGTCTTTCATGACGTCTGATATTCTCGATATGTTATAAATTGTTCAATTAACAAATGCGTGCGTATGTGCCAGTTTGTTACCAGAATTAGTCCGGCGACCATGGGGTTGTGACGCTCATTTATTTTGGCGGTATAATGTTTATCAACATCAGTATATAAAAGATGTAATCGCATAGTTGTTGAAAGAGGCTGTACATGAAGCGGCAAAACCCCTTTCCAGATCCTAAAGAATCCCATCCCAAGAGCAGAGTCAACTGACTGTACAAGATAATAAGCAACACCAAACAACAAACACACACACACACACACACACACACACACACACACACACACACACACACACACACACACACACACACACACACACACACACACACACACACACACACACACACACACACACACACACACACACACATCAAACGCCCCAAGAAACAATAAAAAAAAGAACAACAACAAACCCAAAACAAACACCACAAGCAAAAACTAAACAACAAAAACAGGGGACTTAAGTGACACTCCATGAAATCTTGATGAAAAGAGCATGATTGACTGTACGTCAGAGGTTGTGAAATGTAAACACCAAAGGCGTTAACTGTGTTTTATACATATTTCTGTATCCACCTCATGCTCTTTTTTAATCTTTTGACAGCAATAGATGCTTGTGTTGTCAAAATTTGATTTATCCATTTAGTTACTGCATCATTTAGGATGCAGCATTGAAAAAATGGCACAGAGACAATGGTGGAGTCAGCAAAACGTTTGTATTCTTAGAAAACTACGTCAACAAGATAACAAATTACACTACCTTTCAGGGACTAGTCATGTGTTATTTAGGAGTGGCAGGGAGCAAAGTATGAGACAGTAGGCCTTCCTGTCTAATCTTGAACTCAACTACCACAGCGCGCCAAACAGGCAAGGGCGCAACTCCAGGAGTATTTACCATTGGTGTCCATATGGAGCAATCTTCTTGTCCAAATGTTTTACCCCCAATTTGTACATATATGCTATCAAACGGGAGGTTCAGCATTTAACATTATGTACTCCCTGGTAACTTCTAATGGCATTTACTTTCGTTCCTGACCACTTGTCCAGAACCTCTGAGGATAGATATCTACGTATATCCAGGAATGAAGTTTATTCTTAGGTTTGTAATGTGGGATAGTGGTAAAATGTTTTTAACAGAATGGACTTCGGTCCGTTTGTGTCTGTACAAAATTGCATTTTTGAGCTTTTTTGAGAATCCACATGGTATCAATTGCGCTTGTTTTAAATACTGTGTGTGAATAAAGAGAAAGTCTCCCTTTAAGGATAATGATTAAACTTTGACGCAAGAATTTGATGGTACATTTAATGGACCCAGAATGTTATGTAGCTTTGGAATCCAGTATAAAAGAAGAATGGATATGTCTTCAGGTTTTAGAGTCACGTCTAACGTTTTTAGCGCCGATGAATGATTTTGGCAGATTTCTTTCTCAGTTGGCATACTGAACAAATCAAGCTTATTTACAGTGGTCTGTCAGCCATGGAAAGAATAAACCAGTGTCCATGTTAACACACACCTGCCTGTGACCAGTCACTGGTGCAGGTATGCACGGAGCAATTTTGTTTAATGGAGACAACATGACCATTTTGACGTAAGTATTCATGACATTTGTTTGTTGTTTAAAGTCTCACTCAGCAATATATAACGGATTATCTTGATTGTCTGGTCAAGACTTGATTATTTACAGACCTCCATAGACAATTGTCTCAAATCTGCTTTTTTTCATTATGGTTCAAGTTTCTGACAGCTTTAATTAAATCGAAGTACAGAAAAGTTCAAACTAAGATCATAAAATAACCATTTTTTCAACAGTTATAGGTTAAATGAATAGCTTTACCTCATCTTGGCTTCAGAAATGAAAGATATAACCTCAAAAGCCGATACGTGTAATATCTGGATGTTTGAGTTGAAATTATGATGATATAGCTGGGACCATTCAATTTTTCATTTCCCCCTCCATGTTGATGAATGACAATTACGTTTCTGATGATATCTCTGTTTATTTTGAACACTGTTTGGCCTTTTACACAATGGAATCCAACTACACTTTGAAAAACATAATTAATTTGCTCACTCAATCAGTGCCACACAGTACACTTACAGATCTTACATATTGTATAAATACCATCAAGTTACAAAAGCTAGTATCATTTTTACAATGGCCTATGTACAGTTACGAGAGTTCGATTGTTTCCCGATTCCGCCTGGAAAGGATGTTACTTTCATTTTGCCCACTGCGTGTAGAGGAAAACACAGAACGTCGACCTCCAGACAGACTACAAGATCAACGAGGATGTCACCAAGTTCTTCCCACACTGTGCTCGTTTGCCCTTACTTCCTGTAGGCCTTGAAGGTAATCCTGTGTTTCTACAATACTAACCGAACCACCATCGCATTGCAGGATTATTGTACGGTGTCACACAAGATATGCGGTGTCACACAAGCTATGCTCACTGTTTTAAGAAAATTACATGAGTCACGAGTACTATTGGTCCGGCAGGGCATGCTGCTTTTCAAGACCGCTGATGTTCAAGTCACACAATTGTAACAGCTATTTTGCCCTGTGCGCGACATTGAATGTTTCTGAGGAGAGTCAAAACTGGTTACTATGAAACAAATTACATTTACATGCTGGTGGATTAACTAAATATGACTCGTCATATGTGAACTTGATGTGCTATGCCATCCCATTTTATGAGGTTCGTATGAGGTATTCTCTGGCATAGAATTTTCACAGTTTGAATTCAAGTGGAAAAATATGAACGTAACCAGGATATATCGGAAACTTTTAAAAAAGTTATGTCAACATGAATACGTCTTCCTAAACAAGAAAACAGAGAAAATACTCACAATTACGAGAAAATAATGGAAGCATCAAGAAAAAAAATCAAAATTTCTTGTTTTGAAATCATTTCAAGGAATAGGAAATTATTGGCATTACGAAAATCCATTCGATGTAAAATGAAAAAATGAAAACTTTAATAGTAATGTAAATAACGAGAAAATATTTGAAGAAATTAAATACTCGTTGATTGATTTTTTGTATAATTCTCCTTAAACCCCTCAGACTTAACAGAACCAGTACAAATATAATGAATAAAATGATTCAAAATGTTTCAGTGACCCAGACACATTTAGAAGAAAACAAAATACTCGTCCCAATGCAATATCGTTTAATAATGTGGTTCCACTGATGTTTGTTTCACTAATGTGTTTGACCCATGTACAGTTACCTCCCCTATACTAGTCATTCATTTACACCGTTGGAACCCTGTGGAATATGCGTGGCAGATTAGTCAATGCCTCTCTCTTTCATTATTGTCATTTTTTGTCAGATAAAGACTTTTTGTTTACATACAACTCAACAACCTAGAACATTTTTGTAATGTTCACATACCAAAACTAAATTGTAACAGACATTTGTAAACTACAATTGAAACATCTGAGTTTAATAACACAATTACCCATAATCCCCCTTTCTCCACAATCAATTTATAATGTTGTAAACTAAAATTGAATAACCTGAATTTATGAACACAATTACCTATAAGCGCCCATTTCTCCACAACCAATTTACAGAATTCGAACTATTACAAATATCGCTATGGAATAATGTTTAGTAGTGATTATGAAGTAAAAGCAGGTTATAGTGGCTACCATTTGCTTTGAAAGACTTGGACATGAACGAAGAAAACAATATTTGTTACACAAGCAGGTCCTCAAGTCTATGATCAAAGCTGCCCTTCTGACGCTGTCCCGAGTTCTGATCTATGATGTTTGAGGCAGTGACAGCTGGAAAGAGATCAGGTACTCTGGGTAGGAATGTGCGTCCCGATAGATGCAGAACAGCGATGGTCGTGAAGTGTTGTTTGTGGTTGAGGTAAACCTGACAGAGCGAGTAGGGTCAACAAGGGGAGGGTCCCTCATTTTGGCATCCCCCTTGGTGTATCTGCCCGTCAGGACCCGAGCCCTGTAGACATATTTGATACCATAGGTGTCTGGAGGAGAGTACATGTCCATAGAAGAGATGCTTGCATCCACGGCGAAGTACACACCTTGTCCGTACAGGGTAGCTGAAATTAGAAAACTGAATGACATACTATTTAAGCTACCAATTATTTAAGCTTCCTCTCATTCCAATCACAGCGGTACAATAGGACTGTTTCCAAAGCAGAAAGCAAGAAGAAGCAAGAAAGGGATCAGGTTCAGGAACATGTCTTGATCGATGACCCTGCAGATTCTGATGTATCAGAGTTTGCTGATTGTGATTTTAAAGGATCGAATTCTAACAAGTCGGATGTGGATCATAGATTTCTTTTGCGCGACGAGTTACGTACTGAGTAGGCAACGGACATTGTTATTATTCGCGCACATCGCCTCCACCCCGGCACTCCACTCTCACATCAAAGCAACAAGGCCGTTGTGGATGGAAAGGTATACTTGTACAAACCGGCAAGACAAAACATAATATTTGGTTGTTATGTCCATGTCTAAGCGTATTTGAACTAAAGCACACAGAGTAACAAGGCTACTGTGACATTGTCCAGAGATCAAAAGTACGTTGGAAATACACCATGTCAAGATTTATTTAAGGTATCTGATGCTGCGACGCTGGACTGCTTAAAATATTCTGTTTAAACATGTGGACATGAGTGGGTTAATCAATTACTTCACTGACATTCGTGATTCATGCAACCAAACATTGCCTGTATTACAGGCCTATTGCCGTTATACTGAATGAATTTCCTATCTGTTTTTGTCTCTCTGTCACACATGTCATCGTAATCGTATCCCAGTTGCGTAGATGTGCTCTTGCTGTGGTTCACTGTTTAGTTTAGTCCAGACTTGAATTATTTACAGACCGCCGCCATATTCCTTAAATATCGCTGAGTGCGGTGTTAAAGATCAATCGAACACACACTGTCCAACATATTTCTCAATAAAGTGTTTAGTCACTGTCATTCCATGTGAATGTGAAGAGATCAGAGTGGGTATATAATTCTATTCCGCTACCCATGGCTAAAATTAGAATAATGTGTAATTTGTTTAATCACAAATGTTTGTTCAATGTGATAATGTTTTGGTCTTTCATGACGTTTACCAATGGTATCATTTAAGAGGTTATTCCGATAGTCAACTGACCGTTCTTTCCGCTGTAAGACCTATTAAAGCCATATTTGTTGATGTTGGGAACAGCTTCTACGTCATGATGCACATCATGCGTTCTTGTCTTTGGAGGGATGCTCCATCTGGACTGTCCGCATCTCGATCTGGTACTGCTCGTACAGGTGTCGAATCTGAATCCTCTCAATCTGAGGTGAAAAATAAAGATACTGATATGCTTCCTAATGAACAATGAGATGCTAATTGCTATGCCTTGTGTACAGATTTTCTCTGACTGCCTAACAGCCATGGGGAACACATCGACTGTATGAGCTTTGGAAAGTTTTGAAATCAGATCACATTGATTGGTACCGAGTTAATCCCATTTTTGTATGTCTACGTTGTTTACCTTAAAGATGGTAGCACGATGTCCCTTCTCACCCAATGCCGTCATGAAACTGTTCTTCACACTCAGGTATTCTATGCTTCCTTCAGCAACGTTGAAAACCCTCTGGTCAGACTCGAAGCTTTCCCAGCAAGTGGGATAAGCTAGATGGACATACACAAATATTCACGTAAGAAAAACGTGTTCATGTTTCATTCTTAAAGTGAAAGGAAATACACAACCAATTAATGAATCTTTTGTCCAGAGAACCACACAGTGCCAATAAGCGACGACTAAGAGGACGTCACTGGCATCAGAAAGGATGCATCAACATCAAATTCAAACCACTAGGTTTTTAACAACAATCCCACCAAGGTGAAACCTGTACTGATCTCCTACGTAGGACTTACTATCTCCTACGTAGGACTTACTTATCTCCCTACGTAGTACTTAGTATCTCCTACGTAGGACTTAATATCTCCTACGTAGGACTTAGTATCTCCTACGTAGGAGTTAGTATCTCCTAAGTGGGTATCTCCTACGTAGGACTTAGTATCTCCTACGTAGGACATAGTACCTCCTACGTAGGACTTAATATCTCCTACGTAGGACTTACTATCTCCTACGTAGGAATTAATATCTCCTACATAGGAATTAATATCTCCCAAAGTACGGGTATCTCCCTACGTACGTAGGGCATAGTATCTCCTACGTAGGAGTTAGTATCTCACTTGACAAAGAGCAGACAGTTAGTATCTCCTAAGTGGGTATCTCCTACGTAGGACTTAGTATCTCCTACATAGGACATAGTATCTCCTACGTAGGAGTTAGTATCTCCTACGTAGGACTTACTATCTCCTACGTAGGACTTACTATCTCATACGTAGGACTTAGTATCTCCTATGTAGGACCTATTTTCCCCTAAGTGGGTATCTCCTACGTAGTAAATAGTATCTCCTACGTAGGAGTTAGTGTCTCCTAAGTGGGTATCTCCTACGTAAGACTTAATATTTCCTGTAGGAGATGATCGATATATGTTTATATGGATTAATCTGAAACGGTCGACTTAAAGCCCCAGACACGCACACAATCTCCTGTTTCACTGTTTCAGTCACTGTGAGAGTCTACAGTCATTCGTTTCATTCACTATTGGAGTTTACAGTTATGTGTTTCATTTACTGTTAGAGTCTACTATCATGTGTTTCAATTTACTATGAGAGTCTACTGTTTCCTTCACTATTAGAGTCGTGTGTTCAACTAATTGTTGCACATTAGTACTGTGTTGGACCGACTGTTATACTTTACTGCCTTGCGTTCAGTTTGCTCTACTATTATGCGTTGCAGTTAGTTCACTGTTATATGTTGCATTTGGTTACACTTGACTATTATGCATTGGATATTTCAGAGGTCGTTGCACATGAATCATAATCTACGTGTACAGACGTGTCTTAGACTATCGGTGGCAATCTATGTGTACGTATCCCCTGATATTTATACAAATAAGTATAATGACAATTCTTTGCCTTTTTGAATTTCGTATTGTTTTACGCCGCACTCAACGCTTGTCCACCCCAGTCAAGTCAACCTGTAAACAATTACGAATAAAACCGCAAACGAGCGTTGCATCCAATCCAACCTAGCCCCACCAAGACAAGCAAAAACTTGCGAAGGTCGTGTTTCATATCACAACCTCACCCCAACCATCCCACCCACCTCTGTGTGTGTGTGTGCGTGTTTGTGTGTGTGAATAGATGTATGTATGTTAGATTAAACATAACCATACCGAAATCTCCATAACTGCAATAAGAACAGGGTCCACGTCACCCTAACGTAATACACATACAATAACACTGTATAGTAACACTGCGTTAGTGTCATGAATATTCACTGACTCACATTTCGACTATCTAACGTCCTGCATAGCCAAACATTTCTCAACTTAATAACCATCCCTAAAAAGGATATATTAAGTACTACGTAGGAGATAGTATGCCCTACGTAGGAGATAGTAAGTCCTACGTAGGAGATACTACGTCCTACGTAGGAGATAGTATGTCCTACGTAGGAGATAGTATGTCCTACGTAGGATATACTAAGTCCTACGTAGGAGATATTAAGTCCTACGTAGGAGATAGTGACCCAAAAAAATTTTCACCGTGGCCCTACTACGCTTCCGTAGATATTTAACCAAAACAATGATACCTACCCACAAAACCCAGATCAGCAACTGTTTGTAGAATTTCATCCAAATGATGGCACACTTTGGTGAAGCTGTGGAATGGCCCCTTCAGATGTACCTCACCCCTATCTTTTAATGTGTTGACATGTACGCTCTCTTTCTTTGCAAACGCCTCAAGATTCTTCAATCTGAGGTTGATAGGAAAGGGACACTATTGTTGAAGGACAGGCGATCGAGAAGAAATGTACTGGAGAGTAATTTCGTGTACTTTTGAAAATATGAAGAAATCGGTAGCGGGTACACATCTACCTCACATTGACACCTACCTGACATAAATGGTTCTTAGAATTTTAGCTGCATTGGAATAAATCGATAAAGTCAGATAAAGCTCCTGCTTCTTTGTAGTAAGAATGAATTACTCTGACATTTAGTAGGTATCTATTGTCAGTCTGGGAATCGGGAATATTGCACCGGGGCCCATCCTGCTTCCCATGTTTTTACTGCTCGTGTATTATTACCTTTGAAGACGTCAGCTCCTGTATCCGCTGGTCCACAACCTTCCTGGTGAAGTCTTCATCACATCTGTCTGCCAGCTTTTTAAAGATTGCGTCACACTTATTTCCCTGACAATACACTGTCACTGACGCTACAGACTCGTTCCTACTGGGGCGTTCTGCTGCAGGCATCGGCAACTTAAAATATGGTATTACATATAGTGAAAGGTACACTCAAATATGCTATGCCAATACAAACTGTAAGATTGTGATAATGGGAGGGACGCATAAAACTCCGTGTATCCCAAATCATGGATGCATGCTTTTTCCATGAGGCGGGGTATAAATGATTTATTCTGCCTGACAAAGATTTATATCCCGCTTGGGCGGTGTACGGCCGTGCCCGGGCGTACATGATCATTTGTTCAAGGTCACGTGAGATCAGAGATGGACATTCTTATAATTATATGAGGTGGGGTAATGAAACATGTCATGACATTCTGTAAAGTTATTCCACACTCGAACACGTTATTACATGATGAAATGGTAAAGAAGGTGTTCATGGAACTTGATTAATACAGCCATGTTGTTGTCTAACTAATACGTATGGCGATGTTTTGCGTGTTTATCTTTCTGATATTTCTTGCATTCAGGCATTTTTTAAGCTGAATAAACCTCTTCTCGGGATTGGTTGATCATGTTAACACCTTCGGCTAGAACAGTCCTTTGCGGCTTCTCCAGCAAGTGTCATCTTGCATCATAGTGCATATTTCCATGGGTCTTATCTTATACGTGACGTGCGGGTCATGTGCGTGTAGATTCAGCGATTTAATTACTGGGCAACAGTATCTCCTTGATTGTCAATGTGGAACATACCTTTGCCTTTACACTAAGGCCAAATGTTTCAAGCACACCATCGTCCGTTGTCTCTGTTTTTGATGTTCTCCTTTTAAATGCCTTTATACGAGACTTCAGTCCTCCTGTTGGCAGGAAACGTAACTTGGGATATTCCATTTCAGGAAATGGCCCGATGATTTTATTACCTCCCTTTGCTGGCTTTGCATACTCACAGTGGCCAGTCAGCTAAGCCGCCATTACATCCGTGCTTGCCAGTGTCAACAAAGATAGCGGTAGCAGTCGTGAAGCTTTGTTTGCAGTGCCACTCAGATTTTTGAGGAAATAATACAGACAAATTGACAGATCTGAAACTTTCAAAAAATATATAAAAGAACTCCTTCTACCTCTTTCAGAGTACCTCTGCATCAATTGTGTTGCCAAATGTATACGGTTAGATAATTAAGAAGCGAAAGTGAGTTGTGATTCGTTCGCTCAACTTCCAATCGTAGACACCTGATTGGAAAAAAAGCCAGCCAAGGGAGGTAATAAAATCATCGGGCCAAGCCGTGGGTGCATCCAGGGTATAGTGGAGAGTGAATGTAACGCATACCCTGGAGATTATCGAGGATGGAGTGCAACAAGCGGTACAAGAATCTGTATCGAAACGTCGCACTCCCGAAAAAAAGAAGACGCTATCAATAAAGTTTGTCTATTTGTACTCACCAACTTCTAGAATCCCACACAAAGAAGTTTCGTGGTCTTGTGAGACGAAAAGCAAATACATTTATGACATGACAATGATTCAAAACTAGGTAGTAGGTATTTCATAAACATAATATTATTAATCACTATCCAATAGTGACTATACTGGGTGTTCGCTTTAAAGGTGAGCATGTCTGCACTAGATGAAATTTAATATCCTATCTCGTCTTAGTTCGGACTATTGGCTGAAGAACTCGTTCGTCTTTCCCAAATGGGCACTGTGTGTGAAGCACATTTCTGTCTGTACCTTGCCCTCGATATTGCCTCAATTTTGCTGAAAGCGGTGCAAAAGCACATTCTTTCGTTCAGTGGTACTTTAACTAATTTTGTTGTTGCTGATAAGATTTATCTTCAAATGCATTCATTTGGTCATACCTGTTTTAGATTCTGATCACTGGATTGTCTGACCAAGACGAGTATTTACATACCGCCGTCACATATACTACCCATCAAAAGTTTAGACTCACTTAAAAAACTCACTATATGTTATATATATACAAACAAGTGATTTCTGCAGGTGCATAAGCAATAAATATATAAAATATGAGTCCAGATATTTCTTCTTGCCAAATCTCCTTTATATCTGCACAGGATCTTTCGCCGTTCAACGGCTCTTCAGGTGTACAATGAAAGCTGAGTGTCGTCATAGGCGACACATAACGGTAATAGCTATGTCATCATCATGCGTATGACGTTAAGCATGATGACGACATAGCTATTACCGTTCGTATATATATAAAAAATTTCACCCAAGTGTCTACTGATATCAATTATATCAACACTAGTTGATAAAGTTACAAATATCCGAGGCTTGCCGAGGATATATTTACCTTTATCAACGAGTGTTGATATAATTGACATCAGTAGACACGAGGGTGAAATTCTATTTTTCATAAAAATTCATTCATTAGGTTTCAATGAAAAGTGTACATCTCTCAACACTGTACTACCATTAGACTTGCAGTGCAGGAATGTCATACCATTGTAACGTCATCAAGTTGATGACATCATAGCATTGTCAGGGCATAGTACAAAATCTACTGTCAAAACGATATCTCCTAGGAGATATATGATCTCACATAAGCGATATCTCCTGTGGAACACAGTTTTGGATGATATATATATATATGGTTACATAAAAGATGAATTTCTCTACATCCTGGGTGAACCAATTGCAAACTTTATGCAGATGATGTTGCAAGAGGATCATGCATCAAATTGCTGGAACGCATGTGCAAATATCGTGCATGTGAACAGCTGTCTCTTGGTGTTGAATTTTGTTAAGAACTTTGCCAATTTTCACTGAGTTTCACCATTTATTGAACTCATGATAATAATGTTTTCAACGTTTCGAATTTGTTTTTACAATACATCAGTACATGTATAAACAGTACCTTTGAAAAGTATGGAATATTTTGCAAAATCTAGTTTAGAACAGTTGACTGAAGTAAGTGGCTACATTTACACTAGTGAGTCTAAACTTTTGATGGGTAGTATAGCTGGAATATTGCTGAGTGCGGCGTTAAACACCAAACAAACATACCTGTCTTACATACCTGTCATGGTGGAGAGGTCTGGTATAGCCTTGAGCACTGCGTCTTTGTACGTGGCTAACTTGGACTGGTCGGGACAGAAGACTCGGATCATTTCCACAGTAGTTGTGTGCATGGTTCTGGCCGCGTCCACCATTTCCCTCGCCGCCTCCTCGTATACTTCTTCAAGAGAACCCCGCAGCATATCTGTTGAATATTGACTCATATATGACATTTATGTTATATCGACCAAATTCCTATGTTAATCAAATCAGGTGCGCCATCCATCCTTGCGGTACCTCTGAGAGGAAAAGCATATCAGATACAAACGTGATGGACATTCGTCTTCTTGTCGGAACTGGTTTTCTAAAACAAGTAGAAAGAACAACTCAATCACAATAGGCAACGGTATAACCCACGAATTTCTATTACATGAGGGTAGGCTTGAGACAACGTATTTTATTAATTCCGATCAGTTTCTTCTGCTCTTACTGAACATTATGATAAACGCGAAGATAAGGATACGAGCACCCATACTGTCGTGATCAAGATAAAAGTAAGGATAAGTAAAGATTATTGTAATGATCTATTGAACCCACATACCAGGAGGAACAGCTGGGAAAGCAATGGACGTGTACTCGTTGGTCTCATCCACGAGTAGGATACATTTCTTTATAGTTTTCTTCCAACTTCCGAAATGTTTAGGTGCAGTGTGTAGGATGTTTTGCACTGTAAACCCGGAGCCGTGGTAAGAACCACTCCATTCTTCTTGATGGCACTGTCTGTAAACATAATGACGTATGACATCATGACACCCACGGATGGCACCCATCATAAACAAATGCAAAGGCTAGTAAATCGTTTACCTGAATAAACGCGGGAATGTGTTGCACAATCATTTTTGTCACTGGTGGGTCAAATTTGGAAATGTATTCCACATTATTCATCAAAACACTGTTTCATGAAACTTTGAATGCTCAACAGACTAGGGTTGAATTTGGCCCATTAGGTTTTTTCGATCTATTTAGTATTTCCAGGTGAAACGGAGGCGAGATTTGTACCCAGAACTGTTGTTCCTTACCAAATCGGGCTTGATAGGACTTTTTTCTGTGTTTTCTTGCGTGTGCCTGTATTTTATAAAGGTAGTGAGGGAGTACAGGTAAGGTTAACATTGTCTTGACTTTGCGTGTGTTTGGTATGGATGCATTATGCACTTCCCTTTATAGTCATCACTAATGTGATATTATGTGATAAATGTACATCATTTATGTTAAACTATTTGCAAACAGGATCGGTGGGGGATATGGAAGATTTTGTCATCTTCGTGAGGGTTAACAGAAACTGTCTCTTCCCAAGTTTCTTAAAGTGGTAAAACAGTAAGGTACGTTTATATCGAACTGACAGGAATAAAGAATTGTTTTGTACCAGCAAAATGATTTATATTTAAGTCGAAATACGTACGACGAACTACGGTTATAGTGAACTAGAATAGTGGTCCCTTTCTTCAAATAGATTGTGGTAACATTGTTCAAATGTACAAACCGTCATCCTGACATTCTTCAACAAAACTAGTGCCACATTTTAATCTCAAGCTTGCTGAAACGTCACCTGAACAGAACAGACAAATGTAACATATAACTAGGTGTCATTAATAGAGGGTGAAATCATATATAGCACATGTTTCTCAGAAATAATAGAACTAAGAGTGTCATCATAATGTTTAATGTGTTGGCAAAGCTGACACATCGTGACATACAGGCAAAACGTTCAAACAGCACTAGCAAACATCAGTTGTATAGAATTAAATCTGCTTTCATCTGTGAACAGCACACGAGACCACTGATGTTGATTCCAGCGGCCATGATGTCTACTCCATCTCAAACGCGCCTGGCTGTGACTTGGTGTTAGTAGTGGGCGAACTGCATGTCGCCCATAGCGGAGTCCAGCTACCCTAAAACGTCGACTGACTGACTGCTCCTGGATATCCTTACGTACGTTGTTAACATTGAAGTCTGAAGATCTGCTGTGTTAAGGAACCTGTTATTTAACGCAGTGATCACCATGTGCTTATCATTTCGGGCGACCTGGGCCACGTGCATATCCCACCCATTAGCTTGAAATCTCTGCCACAGTCTACCAACAGCGCTCTCACTCACATTAAAGCGGACAGCAACCTGCCGCTCAGTTTGACCAGATTCCAAAAAGCCTATAGTCTGACCCCTTTCAGCAAATGTAAAGAAACCCGTCTCATTTTAAGCTGCGATTTCAAACAGGAAGCTGAATAGTGAACGACTGTGAAAAAGCATCAATGCATGTGTATTGTCCTCCATTTTCCATGGATAGATCGACTTGCACGTACAAATAATTGAATTAAGTGGCAGGTGGATTTCCATGCTAACAATATAGATAAAAAATGTGCCATTTGTACCGGACTGTATCGGACTTTAAAGAACGTTATACTTGCATTTCAATTGCCTGATGTGTTTTTCATGCTGTTAAGAAAGTTTGTAAAACATTCAGTTGTATATATACTGACACACAATGAAAACGCAAAACCAATTTCAAATTTGGAAAAAAATAATAAACAACATCATTTGGCTACAACTCTTAATACAATTATGTTCACAATTTCATTGTGTTTCCATTGCTTGAAAAATGAGAACATGAATTCCCAAATGATTGGTGACACGTCACGTTTTACACACAGACCCCCATACGAAAGTCAGTACCAAATGAGCCCGCAGGCCCGTCGGAGTGACATGGATTCGCACAAACGTCGAACAGATGCGTCGGGGATGTTCTGCCACTCCTGCTGTAAAGCTATGGTCAGCTCTGCGACGTTGTTTGGCTGACGCTGACGTTGATGGATACGGCGCCCAAGCTCATCCCACAGGTGCTCTATGGGGTTAAGATCTGGTGAGACGGCTGGCAAGGGAAGGACTGGGATCCCTGCTTGGTGGAGGAAGTCGCTGGTAAGGCGTGCAGCGTGTGGTCGGGCATTGTCATGCTGGAATGTAAACGGCACTTGCTGATGTCAGGATGGTTGTTCAGGAGAGGCTGAAGAACGGGCCTTAAAATCTGGTCGACATAACGCTGTGCTGTCAGTGTACAATTAATCACAATCAGTGGACTCCGAAATCTTGCATTAATTGCAGCCCACACCATCACACTTACTCCACCAAAGCGGTTCCTCTCAATAACACATCCATCTTCATGACGTTCATGTTGCCGTCTGTAAACACGTTGTCTTCCGTCTGCAAAGGGCACACAGAACCTTGATTCGTCAGAAAAGACACATTGGTTGAATAATCTGGGTGGCTGACGGCTATGTTGGTGTGCAAACTGTAGTCTGTTAGCCCGATGACGAGGTGTCATGATGTTTCCGTGGTATGGCCTCCGGCACCTCATTCCCACAGCTCGCAGACTTCTTATGACTGTCATAGCGCTGATGTGGCGTCCATGGCGTCCTACTGTGTTTCGAGCTGTGTTTGCTGCTGTCTGGGTGCGGTTTCTCCGGTGAACACGTCGGATGTGCCGGTCTTGACGTGGTGTCGTAACCGGAAGTTGGCCTGGTCGTGGACGGTCATGGACACTTCCCGTTTTCAGCTGACGTTGTTGGAGTCTGTGAATGGTGGATGGACTCACTCCAAAGTGGCGGGCGACCTCACTCTGCGATGTTCCCACCAACAGCATCACAATAGCTTGTTCCCTCTGTTGTTCGCTGAGCCGTGGCATTTTGCGACTGGTAGTGAACATTTGAACCATAGTGCCTTTTATGCGTCCATACCCAGATTTGCACGTGCATGTCATGATAACCATGCGCCCCAAAAGATCCAAGAAATCAGCCAGAGTTGTGTTGTCATGAATTGTCCCTATGCCAGGAACACGAAATGGGTTTGAACCCAAATGTGGAGATGAAATTCTTTGGCAACCTTACACCACTTTAATTAAGTGTGTGATCAGTGAATTTGTTTCTCCTACTCTCCACTCAGTACTACAAACAACACAACAGTTATATGGTATGTCATGTGCGGTGCACTCTTGTTTATTTCCACTAAACTCCATCATCATCATCATCATCATCATTGCCATCAACATTAACTCTACATCATACAAACTCAATCAACATATCATAATGATCATTGTAATATATACAACTTATGACACTGTCATTCGTGTGATATACAAACAGGATCACGTATTATCAGCTCACACCTTATACAAATGCTCGACGTTTTATCTCGTCAGCGCTCACAATATGCCAATACTCACACGTATTATCATGGCTCGTCAGCACGCACACAATATGCCAATACTCACGTATTATCACGGCTCGACAGCACGCACAATATGCCAATACTCACACGTATTATCATGGCTCGTCAGCACGCACAATATGCCAATACTCGCACGTATTATCATGGCTCGTCAGCACATACAATATACATATTCTCACACGTATTATCATGGCTCATCAGCACATACAATATACATATTCTCACACGTATTATCATGGCTCGTCAGCACGCACAATATGCCAGTACTCACACGTATTATCATGGCTCGTCAGCACATACAATATACATATTCTCACACGTATTATCATGGCTCATCAGCACATACAATATACATATTCTCACACGTATTATCATGGCTCGTCAGCACGCACAATATGCCAGTACTCACACGTATTATCATGGCTCGTCAGCACATACAATATACACATTCTCACACGTATTAACATGGCTCGTTGACACGTACAATATGCCTGTACACAACATCAAACAGTGAAAGCAAAATCACTGAACACAAATGAACACATTTCATTCAGATGATAAAAAACATACCATAAACCGACCACAGGTTAATACTAGACTCGAGCGCACCGCAACTGAGAATGCACTTCGAACTCCCGCCTTTCCTTATAAACCCATAACAGAGCCATCTAGCGGACATTCTTACATCAACAAGTAGTACTTTCCTACGCAAGGGAGAAAATAATTTCAATCTTATTCGTTCCTCAAACGAAAGAAATTATATTTCTCCTACTCCACTCAGTACTACAAACAACACAACAGTTATATGGTATGTCATGTGCGGTGCACTCTTGAGACCATTAAAAGAACGGGCTTAAAGACCCAAAGAAAGAGACACTTTCAATCTGTTTTCTACACTGTCCTTAACATAGCCATCTTTAGCCCCTTCGCTCCTCCACCGTCCATGCCGTTTGAAAAGCCTATCAGAATTCCCCGATTTGCAGCAACACTCGCCCCACCTGATCTCAAACTGTGCAAACCATAGCATTTAATGTCAGGCACATATGGTTTAAAGGCCTCTAATAAACACTTCTCGTAGCCGAGTATATGACATTGATTTGTTATCTGATCTAAAACAATAACTCTTTTCTTTTGTTTTGCACATATTCCTAAACACAAAGGAATCAGAGTCAGCGTTTTTGCAAAATGAAGATATTTCCAAATACCTTTCCAAGCACTTTACAGGACACATTTTGTATTGGTTCTAACAATAACCAGCCAGGCTCCATCCCGATACACATCTGTTTTGAACTCTCGATGAAAACTGTCATATAAGCATCATAGAAGATGAGATCGTCATATTTCACATTCAGTAATTCAGAGGAACGTAAGAAACCAGCAAAAAAGCAAGAAGACACATAGATACAGTTCTCAAATTATATACACTGGGCTCACGCATTTTATCATCAAACATCTTTTCAAGCAATTCTAACGTGATAGGCTCCTTCTTCTTCACGGGTTTCTCGATAATTTTCGCTTGGCTGCTTCTAGTACATTAACAACTAGGGCATTATCAGTAGGAGACGATAGCCCAATAATATTATGAAAGTGCCTAATGCTATAAAAGGCATTTTGCACCGGAGAATAAGATTCTGATCTTTGTATCACGGATAAAAGATATACAGCACTATGCAAGGGACTTAACGGTAACACGGTTGGCATACCGTTAGTAATCGCCCATTCTTTCCATGCACGGAATCCATACTCGTACTTTTGCACGTGGACGACGCTCTAGCATGAGACAAAAAGAACCGGCACATCTCCAGCTAGCTGTCCTCACACTCGGGGGTAGCGTCCCTATCTCCTCGAAAACACGTGCAAAAATACATCTGTAAACACAAAATTCAATCATTGAACACAAAGCGCCAACATTTGGAAATTTAAATTGCTCATACCAAACAAAACCATTTCCTTGTCTACTCGGCACATATGCCTCTTTACAAGTGGGTAAATACACAATGTCCTTCACTTGTGAAATGAACGAACCCCGGGACACAATAAAGGCCAAAAGTTTGCAGAATACCATTGAGGTAACTATCAATGTGGAAACTTTACAGTGGCCTCTAGCCAAATGTTTTAACACCCTGGCCACTAA